AAAAAGAGAGAGCTTTCTTTCTTTCTCCCTGTCCTATCCCCCAGTCATGTCTGTCCCGTTTGTAGCAACTGAAAATAAAATAAATTCATAATTATAATAAAGGTCAATCAAATGGACCAATATGGCAAGGCCATGATGATCCACTTGGTAAAATAAATCCGCTTGGCATCTTTCTTGGCCTTAAGACAACAATTCTGATGGCTAAAGATCCAAACGGGACACAAAAAAATAAAATTGGTGAAATAAGTGAGAGAGTCTTCTGTAAGCTAGTTTTCAGCTACGAGCCCGACAACCCGACGTATTAGCCAGAGGTCCCTTTACTACGGTTCGGAGCCGCGGACCTGTTTTATATACGCGCGGAATAGTTTTCTATACGAGATCGCTGCAAAAAGTGCAGCCTTACCTAATGTCCACCTACTGTTACTCATTTATATTAAGATTTAAAAATCTAGTTGGTATTGGTATGGCGAGTAACCTTCAGTAATAGTAATAAATCACACAGCAATAGTACATTCATGTAGTTATAAAGTATTCAGAATATGTTACTTCTGCAATGTGTAGTGGAATACATTTAAAATTAACCTTCCCAACACTGTCAACAGGTTAGCACCTCATACCACAGTGCAGCAAAGCAGTCTCATGAGCGCTGGGAAGGACGAGCCCAGAGCCCAAAACAGACAGTGCAGGAGATGACAAGGTTAGTAATTGAATGGTGAAAATTATACTTTGTTATCTTGATTGGCAAAAGAAAAGTAAATACAAAATCTGCTTCTCACATTTAGGGCATTTCCAAGATTTTTTTTTCAAAACTTCTTCAACTTCTTTCATTACAGCTGTCCTGTGCCAGAAGTTCTGTTGACCCACAGTGAGAGGCATCATTTCAGAAACACCAGGAAGACTGAAACTCATCGCCAGGATCAAGCAGGGCTCGTGATCTTCACCAGCAGCTCCCTCACAAGAAGGATAAACCCAGCATTTCATGAACACTGATGGAGACCTTTGCTTTGTGTAATGTTAGAAGTACTCAGATAATCCTCAGAGGGTCTGGACTTTTACATAATATAATAGCTTTAAGTCCTGTAGAAAGTTAAATATATGTTTCCTTCTGGTTACTCTGGTATTTATGACTCTGAATTACTTACTAAATAACAAACTATTGTCAAAAAACAGTTTTCTGAAACACCAAACTGAGATACTGTTAATGCTGATGTATAGTGACACAGTAACAGGGGTGATTAATCCTTTTGTCTTTAAATTTATCAATAAAACAGCTGCAGCTTTCACTGACAGCACATGTGGTACTTTAACCTTTGTACTGTTTTCTTCAGTTAATTTTGGAGTTACTACAAAGATTGAAGATATAGGATGATCTGTCTGCTGTCACTGGGTGGTGCTGAGGTCTGAATCTGAGGACAGCTCCTGTAATCACAAACAGAACAGAATCATCACAAACTGAAATATAAAGTTTATCTATCAAAACTGAAATAGAGCTGATACTTCTCTGTCCTCACACACTCGGGATCTGAAGTTGTTCAGTCCTATAGTTCTGACAACAGCTGTTTATTTTTTTATTTGTTTTAAAGGCTTTACTAACACATTTTCTAATATCATGTTTACCTTTGAGTTGTTGATGCTTTATAAATGGACATCTGCAAAGATGAGATGATGGAGCAGGTTTCAGTCGAGGTTCAGTCTGCTGCTGCATCCTGGTCACAACATACAGAGGTGTTATCAGCAGTGGTATTGAACAAGAAATATTAATGTTTCAAATTATTTGTCCTAAAGGATGCAAGCTGTACAGAGTACTGCACATGTGACTTTATGGACATAATTCATTAAAAGTAATTTGGACAGTTTTTTAACCTGAATATTTGTAACAAACTCAGTAAAAAAATAAAATAAAAAAAAGCTGAAAAAAATAATCAGGGGAAAAATGTAACATTTTAACTTAAGCTGACAAGCGGAAGTAGTTGGTTTCAGAGGGGACTTTAAAAGTTGGCGTTAATGTCCTTGCACATGTGGAAAGCGACAGAAAACATGCTGCTGTTTGCACATATTTAATAATCAGCTCTGCACAGGAGCAGAAGCAGAGTCCAGCCTGTTGCTCTTACAGTATAATAAAAGTACAGTAACAGTGGTTAGTCACTAAGCAGCCCGGTGCGTTTCTCTTGACTTCTTTAGTCAGGGTAAATTCATTCCCCTGCACGGGTTAGCTAAACGAACTTTACAAAACATGTTTCCCCTACAGCCAAGTGCTCATCTTATCTTCCAGCGCCGCTCTGAGCTGGCAACCAGCAGCTCCAACCTGACCGAGTCCTTTTTTCTCTTTAATATATGTTTCTCTGTTGTTTTGTGTTTTTGTTTTTCTATTGTGGACTGCTTTCTCCCACAATGGAGCTCAGAATTCTATGGACAATGGTATTCTTAATTACATTTTTTACGGCGTCTTTGTCCGGAGAGCGCGTGGAGGTCCGATCTCCCAGATCACAATCTGGTTCATCTCCAGCCTGTGTATAAACCTCTAGTACACAGAGAACCAGTTGTGAAACGCACAGTAAGGAAATGGTCGGCAGAGACTGAAGAGGCCCTGAGGGACATTTTCTGTTCTACTGTGTGGGACAACCTCTGCAGCCCCCTGGAGGATGACCTCAATAGCATCACAGACTGCATTACGGATTACATGAACTTCTGTGTGGACAACACCGTAACCATCAAAAAGGTATGTTGTTTTTCTAACAACAAGCCATGGATAAATCCTAAAATTAAGGCTCTCCTCAAGCAGAAGAAGAGAGTCTTTAGATCTGGAGACAAACAGGAGCTGAGAGTTGTTCAGAAGAAGCTGAAATGGAAGATAAGGCAAGGAAAGGATAACTATAGGAGGAAGATGGAAGAGCAGCTGCAACAGGACAACATCAGAGGGGTTTGGAACAGCCTGAAGACAATCTCAGGACAAAAACCAACCCCCCAGGCTGCAGGAGACTTGGGGTGGGTGAATGACCTAAATAAATATTTTAATAGGTTTGATCAAACACCCACCCCTTCCACAGCATCGTCCCCCCTGCTGCAATCTCCTTCATCTTCAGGTACTGCCTGTCCTTCATCTCAGGACTTCACACCTCCCAGCTCCTAGTCATTACACCCACCCCCGGCTTCTGTGGACTCCAACATACACACCCCTCCCCCAAAATCCACTCTTTCTATCTCAGCACTTCAAGTGAGGAACGAGCTTCGCAAGATCAAGGTGCGGAAGGCTGCAGGTCCAGATGGTGTCAGCTCCAGGCTCCTGAGATGCTGCGCAGATGAACTGTGTGGCATCCTAGGTTATCTGTTCAACCTGAGCCTGTCACTGGGGAAAGTACCACAGCTGTGGAAGACCTCCTGTGTGGTACTGGTACCAAAGACCCCCCATCCCAAGGACCTCAGCATCTGATGAAGACCCTCGAGAGGTTGGTTCTAAACCATCTGCGCCCCCTGGTAGGTCTTCATTGGATCCGCTGCATTTAGAGAAACTTGTGTTGAATGCTAAACCGTGTGGCTCTCCAAATGACGTTGTTCCTCCCTGTTTTCTTAAAAAGGTATTTCCTATCATCGGACCACACATTCTGAACATTATTAATACTAATCTTTTGTCTGGTCAAGGAATTTAAGCATGCAGTCATACATACTTTACTTAAAAAACCGGGCTTAGACAGTTCAGTCATATCAAATTTGTTGAAGCCCCACGTCCCCACTCGTTCCCTTCGGTCAGCTGAGCAGTTGCTGCTTTCGGTCCCAAAGTCACGGCTGAAACTTAGAGGAGACCGAGCGTTCTCTGTTGCAGCGCCGATGCTTTGGAATAACCTTCCTCTCCATGTTAGACAGGCTACATCAGTGCCAGTTTTTAAGTCTTTATTAAAAACCTATTTTTATTCTCTGGCCTTTAACTCTGTGGGTAACTGATATATATATATATTTTATTGCTATGTTTATCGCTATGTCTGGTTTTTATTACTATGTGCATATTAGTATTGTACAGCACTTTGGTCCACCATGTGTGTTTTTTAAAGTGCTACATAAATAAATAATGATGATGATGATGATGATGATGACAAGAGTCCAAATCTCTGTATCACAATGATTTCAATAAAGCCTTATTATTTTATGGGTGAAATATCACAAATTACCGTAGTTCATTAATAGGGAACAGAAAAGGATCACATCAGCAATGGGAGACAGAAGTCTTGACACGTGTTTATAACTTAAAACACAAAAAAAACCCCAGTTACACCTGGTAAGATTTATGGTATAAAGCAGACTTTCACAGTCTGCATCTTTACAGGGGTTTTTCTGCTTTTGTTCACTCCTGGTGTGATTAACAAACAACAACCACAAACACAGAGCCCACTAACTATTAGCAGTTTTCTCCCCTAAACAGTCAGTTGACTGAGAGAAATGCAATCCATTATTCTGAACGCTGAAGGAGATGTGCTCCATAGTCAAACTTATATTTCCTTCTTGTTATATTTATTATCATCACAGTACCGTATAAAACCGTGCGCTCACTTCTTAATTACCTGGAAGCACCTTAAAGACAACCAGCCCCTCTCAACAGCTGGGACAAATCATCTGGAAAACAGATAAGCATAGGAGACCAAACACTGAGGAAGAAATCCTCATTACATCCTATGATAACAGCATTTTCACCATTTCAGCCAATTCCTTTTGCACAATTTGTCTCTTCTGCTCTGGCAACTTGTAGGGCCATGAACGCACTTTCAAAGAGGCTGGGTTTCAAATTGGTGCTGCATTAGAGTCATGCAGACACGCAGGGGGTAGAACACATCTGCAAATGGCTCTTGCAATGCATGACCTTTTTGTCCTTGAAGATCATTTCAGAGTTTTTAATGAGCTGCAGGAACCGTGTTCACTGTGAGTGGAGAACAGCCAAGTCTCCTCCTCTGATAAAGCTCTACATGTACCACTGAAAACAGTTAAATTAGTTTGAATCTGAAATCATGGCTCAAACTACTTGTTGTGAGATCATTTCTTTATTTTTCACACCAAACTGTTTAATAAGACAAACTATACACCGAGTTCATCAAATATAAGTAACACTTTAATATTATCAGGATTTCATTATAAAAACTTCAAATCAACAGGAAAACAGCCACAGAACATGTGGATCAAAATGAATTCATTAAAAACAACACGTGGACTTCAAAAACACAGTAAATATACTAAAGTGAACGGAGGAGTCAAAAATAGAGCTTTAATAGAATTTGAATTAACTAAGAGTAGTCACCTGTGATCTTTAAAATGGTCCTGATGTGTGCTGCTGTTTTTAACTTTTAACAGTTCTTTGCTGCCACTGTGAATAAGGTGTTTTTTTCACTAATTAAACAAAGGTTACACAGCCTCACTGCTCCATCTTCTGGTACAAACTGGTATTACATGGAAATACAGCCCCAAACCAATTTAGCTTTTGTGGACATGAAGTCACAGCAGGTGTTGTTTCAAAGATGGTGGACAGATTTAGTTCATTTTAGAAGTTTTAATTGCAACTGCTGTGTAATTATTTGCAGTTTTTGGAGAAAAGGATTTAAGAGAAGATTTTACAACAGCAAAAGTTTAAATATGAATGAAGGATTGAAATTTAACTGAGGTGAAACATAAAATGAATACATACAAAAAGAAGTTAATTTGGAAAAAATAAGAATGTTCAAATAAAAGAAATTGACATACATATCCATATCTGCAATTTTGATACAGTATCAGTTTGGTAAACAAGACATACCTATAACTTTAATAATACAGTAAGTACAACTACAAAACACTACTGTGTCATAAGGGAAGAAAGATTAAACTGTAATAGGGATAAAATTTTAGAGAATTAAAATCCCTCAAAGGAAAAACCATAATACATATCTATACATGCACAAGTACACACATGCCACTTGTTTTGCACATATTCAACTCTGTATATTTTATATATTTTATTATTATTTTTTTATTTTTTATTTTTTTACTATTTAATTTGTAAAAATGTGTATACACACACACACACACACACACACACACACACACACACACACACACACACACACACACGTAGGAAAATATTTAGTATACACATCCAGAAATGCATACACTATTATATATTGTACATATATTTATTAGTTTCAGGTTGGCCATTCTTGTATTTTGCTCGTTTGTGTTGTTGTGTTTGCACATCTCTGTTGCTTGTGGGGCTCGCACACAAGAATTTCACTCGCATGTGCTGTGCCAGTGTGCCTGCACATGTGATGTGACAATAAAAGTGATTTGATTTGATTTGATGCAGCTAGGGCTGGGCTATATCATACCATTCACGGTAATACTGGTGTAATGTTGGGCAACAATAAGAAAATGAAATATCGTGATAGAATATGGGTAAAACGCGCATGCGCAGTGTCTTTGTTTACATACACACATGGCGGCGACGCAGAATGAGAAGAGCGAAAGTGGATCGTTAACTGAAATGGATGAACTAGAATTGGTTTGTAAAAATGCTGCAACTTCAGTGGTGTGGAACTGGTTTAGCTTTCGTCCCTCAGATACACAACAAAATACTATTTTTGGTAGAGCATGCTAGCGGGCCATCATTATTACAGTGTTTTTTGGAAAATACGGCACACTTAAAATCAATCCTTTGATTTTTCTGAAAATCGACAGTGCCGCTTATAATCCTGTGTGCCTTATGTATGAATTCTGGTTGTGTTTACTGACCTCGAAACGATTTTATGTACACGGCGCTCGAAAATCTGTCAAATGTTTCAGTACGACTTTGCTAAGCTACGAAGCTGCACCGCTTGATGGATTGTTGGAGCATTACGGCTATCGTAGGCAGGAGCCTCGCGGAGTGATACGTACTGTGCTTCAACATACCGTATTTTCACAACCATAAGGCGCACTTAAAAGTCTTAGATTTTCTTCAAAAAGTACGGCGCGCCCTATAGCGCAGTGCGCCCTGTGTGTTGTAATGAGGACGTAGTAGAGAACACCATGAGAACGCTAAAGGGTGAAGTGTGTGCGTTGACTTTATCGCACATACCTGTATAAAAGAACAGGTATGTGCGTTATGCAGGACATCATTGTTTTAACAACCCTGAAAATGGCAAAGAGACACGCTTA